AGTGCAGCAAACCAGAATCTGTTATTTAGACTAATAATTAAGCTGTTAATTTGCTGTCAAAATTAGTTTTTTTTTTGTGCTTAGCAGCTTTTTTTTCTTCAGAATCACTCACGAAGCGGAAGAGAAAAATAAATAGATTTTTTTTGAATCATCAAATGGTACAGTGCTATTAGTGCCAAAATTATGTGACTTCGAGAAACAAAAAATGGATAAAAAAAACCTTAACCAAATAGAAAAAAAAAGTAAATAAAATGTAACTTTTAATTCTTATTTATATAGTACATTCTGTGAAAAAGTCGGTGAATTGTTATGCCATAAATGTTGGCATTAATTGAACGTCGATAAAGACAGAGATTGAAAGCATCGGCAGCGGGTCTTTGATTAGGAGCACCCCAACCAATGAATGCTCTGATATTGACGAAATAAAAATATAAAAAAACTTTAGGCCAAAAAGAAAATTTTCAAACAATTTATCATGATTCATGCTGTTACTTCATTGTGCTTCTCTTATAGCTAAAAAAAATATTCTGAGCATTTTTTTCTTATTCCTGAATTTTGTATAGTGAACAATCAGCAGCAGCAGAAAATGATGACATTTGCTGAACAATTCAATTGCATACCTTTGTTAATCTGTTTTAGATCAATATAGTAACCAGTATATGTCCAGATGCCAAATTTCATTTCGCAGTTTTGTGTGTCATATGGGAACCACGTAACATCAATCTGAAGATAGAATATTTGTTTGAAACACACTGATATAATATTGCTGTAAAAAATGCACAAAAAAAGAGCAAAAGCAAAAAAATTACTTTGGAAATATTTAAAAGTCTAGTCAACGATTAAGTTATCAAAAACTTCTGCATCAATTTATACATTTTAAAGACAGACGATCGATCATTATTTACAATCTGATTTACAAAACGGAAAAAAAAGTGTGGATATTGACTAACTGGGCAAAATGATTTATAAATAGCTGGTGGATGCCATACTACTCGACCATCATAAGCAACCAAAGCATTTGTGACAGTGGTGATGTCAGGATCACCAACAGCACTGAAACAAATTGGCCTATTGCTGAAGACATATTTGCATGTCGGTATCTTTTATTGAACAAATTTCATGTCTGGTTAACAACATTTCCTGTCTGACTTTTCTTTTTTTTATGTACTCAAGTCTTAATTTGCAAGTCTAAATAGTGACAATAAAACAAATAAACAAAGTAAAAAACTAGAATTAAAGTTGTAAAAAACTATAATTATATAATAGCACATACTTATTATACAGAACAAAATCTGGAACCCAAATAAAATCGCTTGGTATATGCAGGCTTCTTATGCCTCCATACTTTTTTGGTTCCCAAGTAAGTCTTGTGTCATACCAACGCTAAGGAAAGCAAATGCAGTTTATCAATTCCTTTCTACTGTTTAAATTAAATTTTGAGACATTAGCGTAAATAAATTGTAGTTTATAGAAAAAAATTATGTTTTAAAAACGACATGACGAGTTATAGAAATATAAAAACTTTTGTATTAATTTATTTAATACTTTTAGTTTTACTTAAACAGTTAAACTCTTATGAAACAGCAAAAGAAAGGAGAAGAGGAACAACCGACCTACAAGTTACTATTAACTTACCATTTCAAGCCAAAGATTTGTTGTCATTATCTGATTTTTTTCGTCCTATAACAACGCACAATGAGCAACTTTAATTAAACTGTTGTAGTATCTATTTTATAAGTCAAAAAAAGAAAAACAAAGGCAATAATTTGTCAGCTTTAGAGAAAAAAAAAGAAGATTTTAGTGATTGGTTAACAGCATTTTACCACGTCAATTAAACGTATCAATGATGCGCCAACTTCAACCGTTAAAACAACTGAAGTATTTTTGACTGGTCGTGGAACTTTCATATAATCAAATAGGAGATCTTCATATAACTGTTTACGTATTTCTGACGATACTGCTGCCGTATACCTAACGAATGCGGTCATCCAAAAACCATAATACATCCATATCATCTGAAAATTCATCGGTGAATGGCCGTCGACCTTTGAAAGTCATCGTTTATATATTCGACTGATACTATTCAATACTATTAAAAACAAACTTAACAAACCAAAAAAAAACTTGCTCTAGCAGACAGCTTTCAGTTGCATTAAATTTCTTTCCAACTTTTTTCACGTAGATCAAAGATGGTTTAAACGCACTATAATGCAGAAAAAAATGTAATTTTTTGAGAGAAAAAGACGTTTTTTTGCATAACCATGTTTAACTGTTTTAAACAGTTACAAAAAAAGATTCTTCACTTTGAGAGAAAAAAAAGTTTTTTTTTCAGCTTCTCTTCGTTAAAAAGAACAAGAAGAGTGAAAGAAACCAAATTTAAAGAAACCAAATTTAATTTAGCTGCAGAAAAACAGTCATTAAGTTTATAGTTTTGTTTTTATAAAACAACAATAATAGTTTTAGGACATTTATCAAAATTGTTCCAAAATCTTTAGGTAAACCTAAGAACGCTTATTTTTGTTGGAAAAGGTGCAAAATAACTCCTATATAAAAACTTATATTTTCTGCACACTTTTGGCATTCAAAAGAAAAATTTTTGAAAAGAAAAAAGTGAATAACTTCAATTTATAATTTTAGTTTTTTTTACAACGGCTTTAAAATTTTTCCTTTATTGTTCTGCTCAAACAAAATTTTTCACTAATCTAAAATTTTTTATTCTCCACAGACTATTAAACTCTACACTGAAAAATCCGTATGTGAAAAACCAGAAAGGGGTAGTTAATAGAAAAAAGAGGAAGAAGGAGAAACAAAAAGGAAAGGAAAGTAGAGGAGAGGAAAAAAATGCAAGGGGGCGAGCAGAGGAGGAAAACGATACTGAAGCAACAGGCAACTGCTGGAAGTTCTGAGCATCTGAATGGAACCTTCCGTTGGTTGCAGAACTTACAACAGCATTTCCTCTCCACAATCCGTAAGTTCCATTGAACGGATTGTGATTGCAAATGCAAAACATTAGTAAAGCAAACACGCTTTCCCAGCTTGTTTGATCTTCAACATGGAAGTCTGGGAGGAATACAAAGATCATTAAGTCTCAGCTGAGACATACCACTGCTTCAGTGTGTGTGTCTTATAATTGTCAACAAAGTTTGCTTTAACAACTCATTCACTGATGACAACAACCACGACGACGATAAGGAAAAACGAAAACAACAACGACGACGGTGACAATGACTTTGGTGTATTACTTTTCAGTTATATGAAAAAAAAAAAGGAAAACAGATTTAAAATATATCTCTTTATATAATTAAGCGTATCTAACAGTTTCCTGGATCTTTATTCTTTCAAATGTTACCAACTACTCCTTTTTCTTCGCGCAGAATTAGCTATAATGCTTAGTTTCACATAGAAATTAAATTGATGCACTGTACATAGTGAATAATTACTAACTTCTTTTATATAGTATAAGTTTCTTTTTTTCTTTAATTACTTAGTCTTCTAATTTTTTATTTCAAAGAAAAACAAAAAAAAATTTGACAATCCGTCATTGATGTCTCGAAAAAAAAAAATAATTTTTTTTCAAAAACAGATCCACAGCAACAAAGAAATCAGCAGCAATGTTGCTGATGAAAAAAAAAAAGAAGAAAAACAGAAGCTTATTTTCTTCAACAATGAAAAATAAATATTTCCTTAAGGTCATACTGCTAAAAAAGAAAAAAAAAAGCAGAAAAAGCGAAAAAGTAAAAGAGAAGGAAGGAAATACCAGTGAATGGAAAACGGGGAACAGATGAAGGAGGATTGTCAGAAATATATATTAAAAAAAATTTTTTTGTCTGGGAATTAAAATACGAAAAAAAAATAAAGCACTTGAAAAATTGCCCACTGTTATAGATGGTTTGTCATCTTTGCTTTCATCTCACTTTCGTTCTCGAAAAAATTACATAAACATGCGCACATATACAAAAAAAAGAAGAAAAAAAAAGAACAAAAAAGACAATAAAATTATTCTTGGATAAAAGTTTTGTTTTTTTCACCTTTTTTTCTTTTTTCACTGTTATTTTCAACTGCGCAGACCAATCTGTCAACAAAATTTGTCCACCTAAAAATGCGACTTGAAATGTGTTAGAAGGTTTAAAAAAAGAAACAGGGAAACACTTCTGGCTTTTTTCTTTTACACTTTTTTTTTCATGTTTACCCGTCTCAAAATAACCAAAATTATTCACGGTAGACGAGTTTAGAAGATCCAGCAAAAAAAAAGCCAAAAAAAAACAATCAATTGGTTTTATTTAGATGAAGGAAACGAAGAGGAAGAAAAAAAGGTGAAAATGAAAACGAGTCATTTTTGTGAAACAAAAAATACCTAATTACTATGTTGAGTATCTGCGGTACTTTGCTCGAATCTAACCTGTTTCTCTGATTGACGACCGACAAACTGTCATCTAATTCAATATGATTTAAATATTTAAAGGCGTCGAAATTTAAATAGAAGTTTTTTTAAACAAATTATGAATATTTAGAATCGGAAAAAGAAGAATTTGAAACACATTTTTTGTCGTCTTACAACAAACCTTTCGCCTACTGTAATTTTTTGCAGCGGTTTTTCAGTTTCTCTTCTAAACGGCAACAGGAGAACGTGCGATAACCGGTTAAAGTTGGGGATTCATAAAAACCGAGCAAACGGTTAAACAAATAATACAGTGTACAATACAGCAACTCTAAAGTTCTCCTAACTGATAGACGACAAAGGCATCAAATAAGAAAAATACTAAGAAGGAAAAGAAGCAGAAGACAGGACTGAAGAAGAAGCGGAAAACGGAAATGAAGAAGAAAAATTAGAAGACGACAATGATGATGATGTGCAAGAAAAAAAGAAGATGCAGCAGAAAAAAATGCAAAAAAAAGGAAAAAAAAACAACCTTAAAATGTTTTTAATTTTTAGTCAGAAAAAATTGGCAAAGTGATTTCGGTGAAATGAGACATACCCAATGGTCTCTTCTCCCTTCCACCCTCCCTCCCTCTCTCCGTTCCTTCCCGTTTCTGTCCACCCGTCCCCGTCAATGGCATTCTGTTTGCAGCTTCCAACAAATAATACGCATTTTCTCCTTTCAAATGTGTTCACTGAGACAAATGACGTTGACCGCTATTAAATGAGCGTTTTGCATATCACATATGGCGTAATCCCATAAGCTTCAACAGCAGTTTTTCCGGAAAATAAAAACAACGAAAAAAAACAATATTTTTTTCTAGTGTGCTTATGAGAAGCTTATTTATTTCCTCGTTAGAAGCCTATATAACACACACATACACATAGAAGAAGATAAAAAAACAGAACAAAGATTGTAGCTTCATTTAAATTTGACAGTCTTTTTTCATATTTAAAAAAAAAAACTAAAGAAGATATTAAAATAGCGTTTATTAGTGTGTATTTGATGAGTTAATGACAATTTTTTATGTACATTAAAACGGCGTGTGAATAAATAAATAACAAAATTAAATATTATAGGAAAGAGTTGAATAAATAATTAAAAAACAATAACATATGTTAGCTGAGCATTAGTTTGAAAGTTGTCTGAAAAGCATAAAAACAAAAATTCTTTTTTATTTCTAACATTGGTTCAACTGCTTTGGAGAAGTGTTAAATTGATGCTGCAATGAATTATTGCAGATCAAATTTTACTGCAAAGAAAAACAATTAAAGTGTTGTCAACGTATATATTGGTATTTGATAAAATTTTCGTTTTTGCTGTATCTGTTGTTTCAGGATAAAATTTGAGGAACAAGGCCAAGAGAAAAAAGGCAATAAAAAGAGGTAATGTTGGTACAACAACGTATCATTATTTAACTGAAATTCTTTTTTTTTTTTCTGCTACGGCTAACGCTGCTTCTGAATAGCTTTCAGATTAGGATTTGAGAGGTTTATAAATTGCAGTAAATCAAGGATTGATGCAAAAAAGCACTACAAATTGCTTTCTTCCTGTCACTGTTGTGGTTGTTCTGTTCCACAACCTTCTTCTTCAGGATTCAAGAAAGCAACGAGGCGTAACGGCACTTAAATATTGTTCACAGAATTTTTAAGGCTTCACATTTAGTAACGTTTGTAGTTTCAAAAAACAAAAATTCCTCAATTTATTGCCTATAAATGCAATATTTAGTTGCATCATTGTAAAGTTATCACAAGAAAAGGATTTATCGCTTGCCAAAATTTCGTATTTTTTTTTGGAGTTCAAAGTTATTAGAAGTTAGTAAAGTTGATGTTTTGAGTAGATGTTGATGTATTAAAGTGAGCTTTAGTTTTCCTAACCATAATATTGTTTCATATTTAAATAGCTAATTTGTTGTTCAAAATAGAAAACAAAACGAGAAGTGTTTGAAAAAGGAAAGGCTGATAATCGATAACAGATGAAAAGAATATTGCAACTGCTATTTGACGAGAAATCTTTGTTGTTGGATCTATGGCCGGGTAACAACATCTTTATAACACTTACCAAACTTAGTCGCTCATCAACCATTGACAGGCATCTTTCTGCCAAGCTCACTTAGGTCATCACTTTCTCAAAAAATTTTTTTAATATCAAAAATAAAGGGAGGGAGAGGATGGCGATTGTGCAGAAGCAGGAGGCAGATAGAGTGACAAAATCTTTTCACCAACTTTTTATCGGCTATTCTCAAAACAATCGATTGTTTTATAATTAAACGAAAAATTTCCAAAGATTAATACAAGTAAAAAAAAAAAGCAGAAAAGCCAGCAGCAGTTTTATCAAATGTTTTTTTAACGCTTTTTTCCCCAGACGTATTTGTTGTAAAAAAGTAAATGTTTTCTTAACAGATAATGAAGCGGTAATAAGGTTTTTGTCATTTATAATAAACAACCTACGCTTTAAGAAGCTTTTTCTTAAATGTTAATTACGTGGTTTTTTTATTTAGTTGCTGTTTGAGGTAGTTGTGAATTATTTAAATGCTGTTTTTGTTTGGATAAGATATTGCTCTTTTACTTCTACTAATTCGGATTTTGACAGGGCTT